TCATACACAATGGGTACCGGATAAAGAGGCCGGAGCGTAAAGTTGACCACTCACCAACTAGTGCCGAGGTCAAGAAAATGTGGCTCTATACATCTACTCCACCATACGCCTTCGTGGCGTAATGCTTAGTTAGTTAAGCACAGGGACAACTTTACCTTTTTAATTCTTTTACACAGTCAGGTCATCAGCCATGGGTCCAACACCCAACATGGAGGACCAGGTTCCTGTATTTATGCCTNCCCCCCCCCCCAGTGCCATAGTGGCCCACGCTCCAGGTTCCAGTTTCGTCACCTTGGCCGACTCGCATGGCTGCGGTGGGGAGATATTCTCATTCGCCTCCTCATAGGAAAACAAACCTCAAATAAATATAAATGAGTACAGTGACATTACTTTCCACTTAATTTATTGTCTTAATAATCTGCTGGTTGTCGCTCGGTCGGTATAGTTCGCTTGCGGACTACAGGCCACGGAGTTAAGTTAATCTGCTGGTTTCTGTAAAAATATTTGGCCCCTGCAGTTTCGTCAGAACCTGATTAAATCCGTCCTTAACTACGTTTCAACAGCTCAGACTCCTTGGTGTTTGTCCGTAAAATTGGCAAGAATTTGGGCACTGAAAGAGAGACAGTTTCCGTGCTCTGTAGGATTGTGTGTGGGCTCAGAATTGATGGTCTGGAGATGCGAGGCACTCTAAGAAATACTCGTGACTCGTTACCGAAGGAATTGGCTGAGGTCGAAAATGATTTTGACTTGTATTCGAAAGGTGTCCGTTTTTAATCTCAGCAGGAACACCCGAGGGTTTTGCTCAGTTTTCCAATCAGATAACGGTGTCGTACCTTAAATTTGGCCACGACCATTTCCCCACCCTGCCCAATTAAATTACTATCATCTAGGATCTCTGTCTCTCACTATGGCTCAACAGTCCGTGGGACTCCTTGGACGGGGGATCAGCCCGTCGCAACGCCGCATGATCGTTGCATGATCATTAGAAATTGATTAGCGTTTGTTGTAAACATACGCTGTGAACCGAATTCGCCAGGCTGGAGACATCGTTGACCGCACAGGAATTCTGTACCGTTAAGTTCTCCTACTCAAGGTGTGACATGCTCTCAGATGTGTTTTAGACGGACAATAATAGCCACGGGTTTTTTATTAATTTTTCGCGTGGCGTGGGCGCCGAAAACTGTTGTGTTCCATGTAAGATGCTTGGAGAACTTTCCTGATGTTTGTCGGTTGGACTTGAGCCAGTGAGAACTACATAATGAGCGGGGTGGTCCAGTAGCTGTAAATAGAGTCCCCTTGTCAGCACTTGTGTACTGCATGATGGGAAGCGCCCCCACAAAGTACGTCAACCCCATGAACTACATTCAGGTTCTGGCTGTAAATTGGATTTGATGTTCTCACGGCGGTGGCTGTGTATTGTAGCACCGTGTGCTTCAGAGATAGCCCTGCATTTCAACGGAAGATATCACCTCCATCTTCAGGGTCGAAGAGTAAGCCAAGCAAGAAACCAACCGAGCTTGCCGTCTGCTTCTGGTCCTTTCTTCGATTACTCGTAGACCCTGAAGACGGAGCCGATGTTTTTCTCCGTAACCCCAGGCGATCTCTGAACTACGCGGCGTTACAGCCCAGAATGTTGTGATTTTAATAGCTGTGAATTGTACAGAAAATCGATATGTTCCTTGCGACATGCCTTTGCACCGTGTAGATGTGGGAAGTAGGTTATACCTTCGCCTCCGCTCGCCCACTGTACTTCGACCCTGAAGATGGAGGCGACATGTTCCTCCGAAACATTGGTAGACTCCAAACGGATTGGAACATTATTTTGCTTGATTTACGGTTAGGTAGTCACGTACGTGCCGGTACGTGAACTTGTATAATTCACAACGAAATGTCCAATTGTCCGTGAGTTCAGCACTGCACCATGAAGACGCATGGGAAAGCATAGGCATAGCTTCACACATACGTTCACCCCGGCACTACACCGAGATGAGTGGGCTTATCGCGCGTGCGTGCTATGTGCTCACCCCATCTCGTTAATTTGAGCATCGTAATAACATCTTATGTTGACTACGAGCACAAATCACGAAGCGTATCCTTACGCAGTTTTCTACAGCCTCTCCCTTAAGTGCAAATATTCCTCTCAGAGCCCTGTTTAAGACTGCGCAACGTTTCGTAAGATGTTAATTCCGGGAGGTGTAGGATCGTTCGGTCTCCCAAACAATCCCAAAGCTGAGTGACAGATGTAGGCGGATAGTAAAGTCCCTGTGCTTAATTAAGCACCACAACATGACGTGGGAGAATGGAGGTATGGCTCCATACATTCTTAGTACTTGATGGAGATCAGTTAGAACAACCGGGGCGTGATGCTGTCTACTGATTTCGGTCACCTGCCGAGGTTAAGACTGTACTGATCTATGTAACTCCACCCCCTGTTCCCGTTGGACAGGTGATTAGTTGGTCCCCTTGGAGTCGGTCTGGACGCTGTGGAGAAGAGGAACATCCCTTTCCTCTACCGGGAATTGAATTCCGATTTCTGTATCGTCAGGCCAGTAACCTAGTCACTATACTGATTATGCTATCCAAAGATCAGAAGTTAAGTAGGTTTAATTTAAAGGAGATAAACAAAAACAAACTCCGTGGCCTGTAGTCCGCAAGTGAACTATACCGACCGAGCAACTGCCGCTTGTCGGTGAAGTTAGTGCCAACTTTTGCGGATAGAGGCTGTCGCGTGGTCAGCGCAACGAATCCCCACGGCGTTAATTTCGGTTTTCTAGACCGGAGCCGCTATTTCCTTGAAATAGCTCCTCAGTTATCCTCACGAGGCTGAGTGGACCCCGTTCCAGACCCACTACTTCTCAGGTAGCGCGGGGAATCGAACCCGGACCTCAGGATCTATAGCCAGGACCTAACTGGAAGGAGATACAGTCTGAAATATTTTTTACGTTTACTTAATAAATGTTCGCTTTTAATGCTGCGCGCGCAATATTATCCTCGTTTTGTGCGTGTAAACCCCCCCCCCCAGATGTCACATCGGGCTCTTCATTTCCGCGGTATATTTTTGTCTGGATATCGGAATTCTCCTCGAATTATAACAGGAGCGTTGAACTCTTAACTTATCAATTAACACGGTAGAACTCGTAACTCTCTCATCGTGTCAAGTGACGCAGTTGGATTGGCACAAAAATCGGGTTTAATATCCAGATATACATTTCCTTGATAGGCGGGCGCAGCAGTATGTTTGGCGAGACATTTATGTACTCGTGAAGATGTGCGCAATGCCAAGTGCCACTGCAGTGGGACAGTCGCACTGATTTTCTGCATCTGAAACGTCATGTCAGCAGACACAAATTGCTTGTAATAGTTTGATGCAGCACATGTAGCTATCTTTGTGGGTGGGCGCCGGGACTAATATATATACAGGATGTTCCGTTTTAAACGCAAGCGCCACTACAATATATTCAAGCTTAAAGTGGCATATATATTGCTACTGGCCGTGACATATCTCAGGCGGTTAGTCACCGGCTTCCCAACGGTCCGGATTCGATCCCAGCTCAGTTCATATGGGATTTGTGGTGGACAAAGTGGTGTTGGGGCGGGTTTTTTTCCGAGTATCTCAGTTCCAGTACTGATTCTCATTTTAATAGCTGTTCCAAGTTCATTACTCGTCCTATAATCTCACATTGTATGGTCCATATGAACAGCGTCGTTAAATAACCAACAAAAATAATAATAATAATTAATAGTGTTGGCTTATTCGGCACTTTCCTGCTAAATGTTTCGCGCAGAGTAGCAAATTATTTCCATGCGAAATAGTGTTTCGAGGATGAAGACACCCTGCTCGCTCTTGCGGAGCTTCTGTGCGACTGTCGACTGCGGCAGCCTAGCAACCAGATTGAGAAATACTGAGTCACTCAGTTACACGAGAAGAACACCTTCTGATTTAATTTATGTACTGTAATACGTGACTGTTCTCTGGTTTTCATTTTAAATGGTGCACGCTGTATATGCAATAAGTATATATATATATATATATATATATAATACGACAAAATATATATATTTTGGCGCAACCACAACAAAAATAACATCTTTTTATCTGAGTTGGAGTTCGTAGAATGTAAAATAGGTAAAGGCCAAAAGTCCTTTAAACCACCATCTATTTTCATTCATGATAAAACATGTCAGTAATGTTGAAATTTAAGTAGCTATCCAGTTTCATTCCAGTCTTAAGAATTTCTGTTAGTCTGCGTATCCCTAATGCAGTCAAGGTCTGGATACCCCATACATTTCGGATACCCACCTAAGAATGTTGTTTAAAATTTATTCTGGCCAGCGAAAATTGTGGCGGAATTTTGGGGCGCATTACCGTCACACGAATCAGTAACACCAAAGAATTAACAGAGATTCACACTGTTTACAGTGGCTTAATATATATTATCTGTGTCCTATACATCACCCAGCATCTTTGGTGCTACACTATCATAGTGTAGCATTATCAGATAATGACGCATTTCATTATATAATTATTAGAAAATTACATTAAATTTTTCCACGTAAAACGGGACTGAGAATCGCCATACCGGAGAGCCCATTGGACACAAAGGATGGGGCAACGTGGTCAGCGCAACGGATCCCCACGGCTGTTAATCTCGGTTTTGTAGACCGGAGCCGCTCTTTCCTTGAAATAGCTCTTCAGTTATCCTCACGAGGTTGAGTGGACCCCGTTTCAGACCCACTGCTTCTCAGAAAATCTGCTAATAGAACCCGACACCTCTGGATCTGTAGCCAGAAACTCTGACCACTAGACCACACAGGTGGTCTGCTTATTATAAATACACTCTTTTAAATATAATTCACAAATTAAACTTTCCGGACACATGTTGATATGCAGATCTTTTCTTGTTTTGGTATGTGAAAGTCTGCCCACACCTTTCAGCTACATCCCGTGTAACAGCTACTGGCGCCATATTGTCATGTGAAGTTCTTTCTGTTGTTCGCAGATCAAGACGGAGCCGAGCCTTCGGGTAATTCTGTAGCGGCCAGCAACCTTCTGCGGCTGTATTCCTTCTTGGACCGGCCAGAGCTTCGCGACCGGGCCGCGAGGCTGTTCACGGCCTTTAGGACAAGACTGACTGGAGTGCCCATCGCGCTGCCCGAAATGACGTCAGCGCTCATGTGCTACTATGATTCCCCGATACAAGTAAGCTATTGGTTGAGGCCGCGCCATAGCTCAAGCGGTTAGTCGCTGGCTTCCCACCGCGGCGGCCCGGGTTCGATCCTTGGTCTGGTCAAATGGGATTTGTGGTGGACAAAGTGGCGTTGGGGCAGGTTTTCTCCGAGTACTTCGGTTTCCCCTGCCAGTCTTCATTCCACCAAATTCTCCATCATCATAATCACCCGGGGCAGGTACAGTAGGCCAATCAGTGGCCGCTGTGCCGAGTGGACCCAACTGGACTCCACCCCCCACTATGCGAATTAAAAAAAAAGCTTTTGGTTATACTGTTCCTGAATTCTGTTGTGCTGGGGGAAAGAGGCAAGTCACAGGAGGAGAAAACAGTGAAGAATGCTCTCATCTGGCATATGACGCCGTGTCGTCCGCTGTAATACCACAGACTTTTCGGAGAAATGTATTACCTCCATCTTCAGGGTCGAAAATATGCTAAGCAACTAACGGGAAAAAATTACTCAGCTTGCTTAACAAATTATCTTCTGGCCCTGAAGATGTAGGCAGTGGGTTTCTCCGAAGCGTCACCGAAATTCTACCGGACTACACGACGACGCATCCCAGAAGAAAGCGTTTATAGTTGCTTCTGTGAGAACCCGAAACGTAACGGGTTTAGGCGTTAATGCAGTAGTAATGCAGATACTTAAGTCTGTTTGGTTTGTGTCGTTATGTCACTGGAGACAGGGTTGTGTACTCTATCTTGAGGTGTTCTGCTCGAGTCTCGGCCGCGACACGTGGTTATCCTGACTGAGGGATTTCACGCTTTCACGCAAATGCCGGCGTAATTTCTCGGTTAGGCGCCACCGCCTCCTTCAGAATCCTTTCCAGTTCGTCTGTCATACCAGTGAACGCCATATATACTCGTACGTAGTGTTGCTATTGACAGTATCGTAAAGTAGCCCACAAAAAATTAATTTTGTCACTTAGTGGAAAGATTGGACACAGCATAGCCGCTCTTTACCTCCCCCAGGAATATTCCTGTTAGAGGCTGAGCCAACCCCAGGGCCATAGTGCGGCTGGAAGGATCACGTTAATTTGAAAACTCCAATGACCTCATCGGGGAATCAAACCCGCGACCTTCCGGCTTGTAGCGTAGCGTAGTGCATACCAATCAAGAGTAAAGAGGATTGACAGGAAGCAGGAATGAATGTTATTGAACCTAAAAAGAAATGGAACAGAATGGCAGGACTCAACACGCGTCTAGATAGAGCCAGTTCTCATTATTTTTCAGGTTATAAATGCATTAATTCCTTAACTGGCTCAAATCATAATAGAAATTAGAACGTAAGATCACCCCTTTTTTCTGTCTCGTCTGTTCAACTATTCACATTCATTGTATCCTTGGTTTTCCTATCCCAGAAAATATGGAGATACGTATACTCATTAAGAACTGAGACGACGAAATTTAGATGAGTGGTCAGTAACAAAGATCGCCTCTGTGGTCTAGTGGTCAGAGTTCCTGGCTACAGATCAAGAGGTTCCTGGTTCGACTCCCGGCGCTACCATATTTTCTGAGAAGTAGTCGGCCTGGAACGGGGTCTGCTCAGGATGATTGAGGAACAGTTTCAAAGAAATAACTGCTCCGGTGTAGAAAACCGAGATTGACGGCCGTGGGCATCCGTTGCGCTGACCACGCGACACCCTCTATCCGCTAAATTTGGCACGAACTTTGCCGACAAGCGGCGGTCGCTCGGTCGGTATAGTTCGCTTGCGGACTACAGGCCACGGAGTTTTTTTTTGTCATTAGCAAATATGGTAGTGGCATATATTTCTTTGTGAGCTGTTTTACGACACAGTCAGTCTGTTATCACGACAGGCCAAGTGAATACTGAATTAGAAAGGATGCTGAATGAAGCGGTCGTGGCCTAATTAAAGGTATTATCCTAGCATTTGTCAAGAGAGACTTGAGGGAAAACTACGAACAACCTCAGATAGGCGGTATTCCGACCCGAGATTCGAACTCGGCACCTCAGGAGCTTTACTGCTTGAGCTTGCTCGGTAGGAATGTCCAGAGTAGCTGAGCTACTATCATCATATTGTGTGCTTGTGGACCAGGTGTTCGTCGCTGGACCTCCCGATTCTCAGGACACGAAGGACCTTCTGGAAGTCGTGTACGGCAGACTGATTCCGGGCCGAGTCCTGGCGCTGGCAGACGGCAGAGATGACAGCGTGCTGTACCGTCGGTGTGAGGTGATAAGGCGGATGAAGCCGCTCGGAGGAAGGGCTGCTGCCTACGTGTGCAGACATCAGGCGTGTTCGGTTCCAGTCGCATCCCCCCAGGAGCTGGCCCGTCTTCTCGAAGAACTCGATTAAAATATCTCTTGTCGACATGTGGACACTTCAGTTTCTGTACAGCCTGTAGCCACTCATCGCGGATTTATTTATGAAAATTCAGGGTTCTAATCCCTGTGGAATCGATGACATTTTTGTAGGAATCTTAACCCTAGGAATGCCAAGTGTAAAAAAAGATTTCATCCTCACAAAAACTGCTGTATCTGACATCATGTAGCGTATGTTAGAATTTTCTTATGAAATACGTATTCAAAGTAAGTAAGTAAAGGTATACTTGTAACAGGCTGTGGAGGCCCATAGGATTGTGAGATGTTGAGGCTCCCACATTTTCTGTAGACAATCGGCTCACAGATGGCGGTGAGGTTGTCAGCCCTACGCACAGGTCGCCCTTTACCCCCAAGAATATTCCCGGTACTCATTTCCGTTAGAAGCTGAGTCGAACCCAGGGCCATAGTGCGGCTGGAAGGATTAGGTCAATTGAAAAGAATCCAATTACCTCATCGGGACTTGAACCCGCGACCTTCCGGCTTGTAGCATAGTGCCTCAATCAACTACGCTACCGCGTGCCCCAAGTACATATTCAAATTGGAGATATTTTTTGTACATTCCAAGTTCTTAAAAGAGTTCACATAAAAGGTAAAGTTGGCCCTATACTTAACTAATTAAGCACTACGCCATGAAGACGTTATGGGGAATGGATGTATAGGTCCACATATTCTTGCCAATATTATATTAGTTAGAAGTGAGTGGTCAGCTTCACGCCCCTGCCCCTTTACCCTGCGGTACCCCTGAATAGGAGGCTGTATGGGCCCCTAGAACCGGTCTGGACAACGTGGAGAGGAGAGAAATCTTGCCCCTACCGAGACTCGAACTCCGACCCCTCGGCCATCCAGCCAGTCGCTATACCGACTGAGCTATCCCGGAAGGAGTTTATATATATATATATATATATAAACTCCTTACCTATAGCTGGAGGCTCCGGAGCCCACCCAGGCTTTCATCCTATTGGTACCTGGGGCACTTTCCTTGAGAATAATGCAGCCGGAACATGGAGCTGACTGCTCACCATCTAGTGCCACTCCAGGGGCACCTGTACCCCTTAAACAGAGCAGCGCTGAGAATCAAAAATGACAACTTGGCAGTACAAGAGATAGAAATTGTACTACTAGGGTCAGTTAATTAATTAGTCTAAAAGTTTCGGATGGTGATATGTGATAGTCACTGTGATTAGTGTTTTGTTTATAAATAAGCAAGTTAGATAATAAAATGCTTGGAAGCCCCCTGTACTTTAAAGTACCAGTTTCGAGATTTAACATTTCACACAAATAATATGGGTATTCAACCTGTAGGCCTGTTATTTACTTGTACATCAGATCACATCTTGAGTTTTTTCAGAATAGGAGGCATATTACATGTACAAGTTTTGAGTCTTATCTATAGTTAATTATAAATATTTACTTAAACATAATCATTTTTTAAAGACAACCTGTTGATGAATGAGTGGAAACTTAGCAGGCAGGCTGTGGTCAGAATCCATTCTTCACGTTCACTGAAGATCTGATAATTTCTTGATTTCTTAGTGTGACATAATTTGGAAGATTACTTCTGATGGGGTGTGAAGCCATATAGTTTTCTTATCGACATTTCAGAGGAGCCCATTACCTGACTACCTCCATCATCAGGGTAAAAGTTACAGTGTCTTCCTCTGAAACGTTGGTAACACTGTGTCAGACTGTATGTTGTAATCCAGAAGACAACAATGTCACAATGTGAATATTCAGTTGAGCCATTTTCTCTCTTTGGATGGCTCAGGAGTAGAGCCCCCCTGGCCCGGTATCCACTCATCCATGTCCCCCCCCAAGGCATCAGTGTCATCACTCGTTTACCATTATCCCATCATTCCCTATACCACGTGATTTCCCCTTCCTCCCTTGTTTAGAAAGGAAGACGTGTGGCGGTGTGGGTGGAGATAGGGCAGAGGGCATTGCTTGCCAGCAGTGGGGTGAACTTGGCCCCTAAATTCTGTTTCAACTGGCCTTTCAAAATTGTGTTTGGACTCCTCGCTCGGGCCGTTGAGGGCAAGGGGCCTCCTCTTTGTAAGGTTATGTTTTTCATTAGGGGAAGTTGTGACCAAGAGTTCTTGTCTGGCCTTATACTGTTATTTCTTTTGGCTTGCTACTGCCCCGGTAGCACTATGCTACAAGCCAGAATGTCGCTGGTTCGAATCCCGATGAGGTCACTGGATTTTTTCAACTGACCTAACCCTTCCAGCCCCACTATGGCCCTGGGGTCGACTCAGTCTCTAACAGGAATATTCTTGGGGGTAAAGGGCGGCCGGCGCGTAAGGCTGACAACCTCACCGCCATCTGTGAGCCGATTGTCTAGAGAAAATATGGGAGCCTCGGCGTCTCACAACCCAAGGGGCCTCCACGGACTGTCACATGGATAGCTTTATCTTTACTTTTTGCTCCTGCCTCCTTTAAAGTTGTTGTACAACCATATAATGGGGTAACATTGTGATCTGGTTCCACTCGCTGTGTTACACGAATTTTGGTCATATTTTCTCTGGGGTAGGTAGACGATTCTGTGTGGTTACTTTGTGTGTTATTTTATTCTGTCTAGATCCACCAAAATGGCGGAGGACATAGTTTTGTTGCATATGCATTTTTGAAGTACTGAAGCATGTTTTGAGTCTTATTTATTGTTTATTGTTATTATTGTTTGTTGTATGTCATGAATTTAGGTCTAACTGTTATTAAATGCTTGCTCCTTTGGAGATTCAGTTTTTCTTGCTGAAAGACCGGCTTGGACACCCCATTCCATCAAGGGAGTAACGTAAGTGCAGCTACCATTCCCAAGTAGTAGCAGTAGCAGCAAGTAGGTAGAAGAGGGGACGAGCTGCTAACAGTAGGGATTGTGTGTATACAGGAAAGTTTCACCTTTGATTTACTGTGAAGAATTTCTTTTTCTTAAATTTCGGATTGCTTAAACAGTAATGGCTGTTGTTAACCTCAATCTCTAGTGAATGGCAGACAACGAAATCAAAAGGCAGAATCAGAATAAACAACTGATGAATTAAAAGTTGTGAGACAGATGATAAAATACACTTGGATGGATTATAATCCATATAATTCATAATTACAAAGGAATTAACATATAGTAAGAGAGTTAGAAACATAACCCAAATGGGACATTTTCTAGAAAGTTGGTTCACAGATGGCGGTAAGGTTGTCAACCTTAAGTGCCAACTGCCCTTTAACCCCCAGGAAGATTCACGGTACTCATTTCTGTCAGAGGCTGAGTTGACCCCAGTGCCATAGTGCGGCTGGAAGGATTGGGTCAATTGAAAAAACCCAGTGACATCAGGAATCGAACTAGCGACCTTCCGGCTTGTAAAACAGTGCCTCTACCAACTACGTTACCGCGTGTGTCCCTCCCCCAAAAGAAAACAATTAACATGTTCCAATGAGCCAGTCATTTCAATCTCCCTTGAAGATGAAGGCAGTAGGTTCGTCCAAAAGTCTGGTGACAACGTGACTGACTTCACGGCGCGGATCCCAGGATATAAGTTTCTAAATGGACCTGGATCATGTTGTAAAATAAGAAGGAAAACAACGCGTTGTGTTCTGCATTGCGTGGGGTAGGAGTACGTCATTGCTGACAGGGTCTTGCGTGACGTTACACACTTCAGTTACATGAAAACATAAATACTTGTTAAATCCGGTTTCAGTTATCTCCTACAAAATCGAAATTGTAACGTTTTACATCACGGTTTAATTTGTTTCCAGGGAAAGAAAATGAAGGGCTAAATGTTATAAAAATAAACCCTGCTGGCAGAACCGGAACCTTGAAAACAGCTGATACAAAAGCCTGCCAGAGGATACAGCCCTCACCCAACTTCGCCAGTCTTCCTAACATGTCTCCCAAAACTCCACTTTAATGCTATCTTCCCATTTGTTTGCGGTATTTCTAGAGATTTCCGAGCCAAAATTCACTGTAGGTACGTTGCATATCTTCCCATTCTAACTACATGTCCAACCCATCGTAACATCCAGGCCGAGCCAGAGCTCAAGCGGTTAGTCGTTAGCTTCCCACTGCGGCGGCCCGGGTCTGGTCAAGTGGGATTTGTGGTGGACAAAGTGGCGCTGGGGCAGGTTTTCTCCAAGTACTTGGGTTTCCCCTGCCAATCTTCATTCCACCAATTGCTCCACAATCAACCTCACCTATCATCTGGGGTTGGTACAATAGGCCAGAAGTGGCCGCAGTACAAGGGACTTAGTCCCACCCCACTAGCAATAAAAAAAAAAGAAAAAGCAAAGTCAACATACGCCATATAATTCGTGTCATTCAGATATATATATACTTTAAGTACATGTTATGTGAATAATTTTCGTCGAATTTGTATGCCACAAAACAAATTATAAGGCAATCCAGAAGTCTTAACATTATCGTCATGGTGTGTAGTTCAGTGATTCTAAACGTTGGCATCCCTGCTCTAATCTTGTCGTAAGCGCATCTGTGATTGTCGAAAGGAGTGAGTATTTTATTTAGTGCAAGTTTGGAAGCAGCTTTGTTATAACGTAATGTATTAAATGTATTGTAAATGTAATGAAAGAATAATATTTTCTAGTGATTTAAAGATTTAGTGATATATTAATGTTGTTTTAAACAGACCAACCTTGTTCTCAAGGAGTTAATGTTTTCATTGCTTGTAGGACAACAGTGCTGCCGCTATGTGACATAATCGTCCGGTAAGCAAGGAACTCGAAAGAAATGACTGTCGAGTTGTGCAGAAAGACGCGCGCTCTCTTGGCGGTCTTCGCTGTGTCCGGTTACAGGTCTGTGTAGTGAAGTGGTTCGTTTATGTGAAAATATTCGTGTGTTTGTGGCTTCACCTGACTTCAGGACTTCGAAAGAAAAACTAGCGTTTCCACGAAGTAATGGCACATGTCTTCAAGGTTAGCGGACTGAAAATTGTTGGGTTACTATTTGTTTTACAGTTTGTCTTGTGATGTATAGGACGCCGTGTTCGAAACGGTGTGATGGAGTGAGCAGGTAAACACGCACGCCAAGCAACAGTGTATAGTGACTACTTCGATAATCTGAAATTGAATATGTGTTCTGCGTCATGAAGGCAACTTGTTGAATTATAGTCTTGGTGTGCTTATTAAATTAAATACGTAGAAGGTAAAAAAAAATTGTCCCTGTGCTTAACGAATTAAGCACTACACCATGGAGGTGTATGGGGGAGTGGATGTATAGATCCACATTTTCTTGACCTCGGCACTAGCTGGAGGGGAGTGGTCAGCTTCACGCCCCAGCAGT